TATATATGTATATATATATATATATATATATATATGTATATATATATATGTATATATATATATGTATATATATATATATATATAATAATTATATATATATATTTTTTATGAATAATATTTTGATTTTGAGGTGATACTTTTGACAGGTTTTGTGAGATTCACCTTTAACGCAAACCCCAGGTGCATTCATACTCGAGCACAGCACCGTAGTAAGGCTTTTACACAAAGCAGACTTGATGGTTGAATGAATCCAGGTTTGCAACAGAACCTGAAGTGTAAAACTGCAAGTGTAAACTGCTGTAGGGGCGTTTCTAACCTCCAGCTACTGTTCTGCTGTGTGGTGTTGTCCGAGAGCAGAGAGCCCATGGGTGAGTTGGAAAGCACAGGCTGGCTGGGATTGTGCATGGTCATGCCTGACATCTGCTGCCATGAAGAGGGAATGAGGATCTGCTGGGTCCCTGCTGGCCAGCCCTGCTAAAACACATACACAATGACAACTGAACAAAACCATTTAGTCAGAAACTCAAATCTATTTTCCTTTCTATTAATGTGGGGTAACAAGGCCTGTTTACACTCGAAAAACACTCCAGAGCATTAATGTCCAAACAGGTGAACTGTGATTGAAGAAACTGAATTATGACAATACAGGAGAACTTGTATCAATAATAGCAAGGCTTTTGTAATAAAATGGTGCTGGGCAGGTATAGTATAAATATGCAATACACACACTCCCATTTTGTCAACAATTGCTTTTCATATAGCTCCTTTTTGCGGTGAATCTTGGTGTAAACAGGCTTTAAAACATTGATGCACTTTGATTGACAGATGCATAATGAGCACATTCAGTGTGGCGACGCTCAGTCTGTCTGCGTTCGATCTCTTCCTGTCATACATGAAAAGCAGATCCTGTCCTACAAGCTCTTAAAATCATGCAGAACTTCATTAAAACAAAACAACACAGTGAGAAAGTCAATTTCAATTTTCATCTCAATTATGTTGCTTGACTAATCGTGAATCTTTCATGCTTAAAGGGGAAATGGGAGTCAGAAAATCATGATAGAGTTTGAGCAGATCAGCCTTTTATAAAGAGAAGAATAGATGCAAAATACACAAGAAAATAATAACAATTGCGCAGGGAATTTAACTCAAGTGATTACCAAAGCAACACAAGTCCAATTTATCTGCATAGAGAGGAAAGGACTGGTTAGCAGTGGAAGGAAAAAAGGAGAGTGAGTCAACGGGGAGACATTTGTTGCCACAGGAGTGGGTCTGTGGAAAGAGAAATCATTTGGATTGCATAGAGTCAAGCAGCCATGCTTCACTGGATAGAGCTCTGGGGCCCAGAACAGATGCAGCACGAGTCCAAGAGAAAAACGCCTTGTTAAATCATGATTGATAGGTGAAGAAAGAAGAAAACAAATCTAAAACAGCCACTTTCCACCATAAAACTCCTAAAGAAATAAGGGCAAATAGCAAATCACATCAATTAATTTGATAGCTTCAAATCACAGCAGCCTTCGTAACATCACAGAGTAACAGCAATGTGCACAGAATTTACATTAGGTACCTGCTGTGCCACTTTCGGTCAGAACTGTAGTCTGTGCATGTACACAAATGCACATGAGAATGCTTCTATATATACATATCTGTAATTTTTTAAATAAATTATATTTTGTTTTTATTTTAATTTTTTAAGAATCTATCTAAATTATTAATATTAAATTAAAACAGCACTTATAAAAACTGCATTATTATTATTTAAAGGTGCTGTTTGTAAGTTTTTGACTCTACTAAAGCATAAAAATACCATAATATGTTTGCAGATATTTAAGAAACATGCTAAGTTAACATACTTGTTTATCTGAAAAACAATGCTACAGTCAGTTATTCTCCTTTGAAAATGTGCGTTCCGGGCAGGAATGTCGGTCTCTGTTTTGGTTTGTGAAACCCGCCCACTGCCAGTTTACCCAATTGTATTTCGGGACCCCGGGTTGCCAGTTGGCGGAAAACACAGCGTATTTCATTTCTTTCTTTTTGAACAATTTAGAAGAACTAGCTCATAAGAGTCATTTGTTGTGAATTACACTACACTGGTTGCATAGTATTGTTTTTGCATGCAGCCCATGAAAACAACTCAATAGAAAAAAACATTTTCTTGGCAATAGCTGTTTGGTACACTATCTTATTATCTCATTCAATTCAGAAGTTTGGCCTAGAAATGCAACATGCAAAGAAGGTAAAAGAAAAAGAGGAAAAAAGGAAGAGGAAGTAGTTGTCACACTGCAGGGCGCAGGTTTACCAGCATGGTGGCATTCTGCTCCAGACGCCGAGAGCCCAAGGCCACTGGAAGAGGCAGGGAGGCCACTGTCAGCGGCGTGCTGCTGCTCTGGTTGGGGAAGGGATAGAGGGATGTGTGGAGGAACTGAGGATGGAGGAAAGGGTGGAACGGTTACAACACGCTGGCTGAGCTGACGGAGAAAGTAACTCGCCAAGACTTTCCACCACCATCATCATTGTAATAGTGACAAAATGAAGAAAAATGATGTCAAATACAAAACAGATCAATATCATTTGACAGTAAAGACAGCGACTCACTAGCCGCCTCGTAACAACCTGATTTTAACAACTTGACTGTTTTTGTTGAAATCTCACCCTTTTCTTTCAGAGGTCTTCCAAAGTCACATATTAAAAATGGAATAAATGCCTGCCTTTGACTTATCGTTCTGATTCACTGTCATGTAAAGCTAAACAAGACAAACATTTTGGCTGATAATACACTACCGTTTGGGGTCAGCAAGTTGGGTTCAGTATTTAACTTTTTTTTTTTTTTGAAGGAAATGGATACTTTCATTCAGCAAGGATGCATTAAAGGGTTACTCCACCCCATTAATCACAGTCATTAATCACTTACCCCCATGTCGTTCCAAACCCGTAAAAGCTTCGTTTGTCTTCGGAACACAATTTAAGATATTTTGGATGAAAATCGGGAGGCTTGTGACTGTCGCGTCGCTTCATAACGTTACGGTTGAACCACTGATGGCAGATGGACTATTCTGACGATGTCTTTCATACTTTTCTGGACCTTGACAGTGTAATTTACTAGGCAGTCAATGGGACAGTCACAAGCCTCCCGGTGTTGTGTCGAAGTCTGTTCCCCCTATGTTTCCCCTTAGTTTAGCATTCCCGCTACACAAACAGCGTACAGAGCACGCGCATGTGCTCGTTCCAATGTTCCTGTGCACTGATACAACTCAAATTTGACATTTTAAATTTGATCATCATTTAAGTGATTGCTTTATATGAAAACATAATAGATATGCAAGCTAATGATGTAGTTTAATAATTTAGCAGTAAATAGGTACCACATACCTCCAAAAGCACAGCATAAAATATTATTGTATTATATATTTTATATACACACTCACACTGTACAACAATAATTACTATTTTTGCATTATTGTAAGGGGTAGGTTTAGGGTTGGGGTAGGTGTTAATATTAATGAAACACAATCTAATAGGTAGAAAATTCAATTTATTGTTAGCTTCTGGTTTTTGCTGTATCCCTTCTAGCCACAACCTGGAACAAGCACATGCGCGTGCTCTGTATGCGGGAACGGGAACACTAAACTAAGGGGAAACATAGGGGGAACAGACTTCAACACAACACCGGTTTTCATCCAAAATATCTTAAATTGTGTTCCAAAGACGAACTAAGCTTTTACGGGTTTGGAACGACATGGGGGTAAGTGATTAATGACACCGTTTGGGGTCAGCAAGTTGGGTTCAGTATTTAACTTTTTTTTTTTTTTGAAGGAAATGGATACTTTCATTCAGCAAGGATGCATTAAAGGGTTACTCCACCCCATTAATCACAGTCATTAATCACTTACCCCCATGTCGTTCCAAACCCGTAAAAGCTTCGTTTGTCTTCGGAACACAATTTAAGATATTTTGGATGAAAATCGGGAGGCTTGTGACTGTCTCGTCGCTTCATAACGTTACGGTTGAACCACTGATGGCAGATGGACTATTCTGACGATGTCTTTCATACTTTTCTGGACCTTGACAGTGTAATTTACTAGGCAGTCAATGGGACAGTCACAAGCCTCCCGGTGTTGTGTCGAAGTCTGTTCCCCCTATGTTTCCCCTTAGTTTAGCATTCCCGCTACACAAACAGCGTACAGAGCACGCGCATGTGCTCGTTCCAATGTTCCTGTGCACTGATACAACTCAAATTTGACATTTTAAATTTGATCATCATTTAAGTGATTGCTTTATATGAAAACATAATAGATATGCAAGCTAATGATGTAGTTTAATAATTTAGCAGTAAATAGGTACCACATACCTCCAAAAGCACAGCATAAAATATTATTGTATTATATATTTTATATACACACTCACACTGTACAACAATAATTACTATTTTTGCATTATTGTAAGGGGTAGGTTTAGGGTTGGGGTAGGTGTAGACGTTAATGAAACACAATCTAATAGGTAGAAAATTCAATTTATTGTTAGCTTCTGGTTTTTGCTGTATCCCTTCTAGCCACAACCTGGAACAAGCACATGCGCGTGCTCTGTATGCGGGAACGGGAACACTAAACTAAGGGGAAACATAGGGGGAACAGACTTCAACACAACACCGGTTTTCATCCAAAATATCTTAAATTGTGTTCCAAAGACGAACTAAGCTTTTACGGGTTTGGAACGACATGGGGGTAAGTGATTAATGACAAAATGTTCATTTAGGGGTGGAGTAAACCTTTAAATTTATAAAAAGTGACAGCAGAGATATTTGTAGTCACAAAATATTTCAAATAAATGCTGTTCTTTTAGACTTTCTATTCATCAAAAAATCCTGAAAAAAATGTATCATGGTTTCCACAAAAATATATTAATCTACACAATGGCGTTCAACACTGATAATAATTAGAAACGTTGCTTGAGGAGCAAATCAGCATATTAGAATGATTTCTGAAGGATCGTGTGACACTGAAAACAGCTTTACCATCACAGATATAAAAGTTATTTTAAATTGTAATCATATTTCACAATATTCCTGTTTTTATTGTATTATTGATCAAACAAATGCAGCTTCGGTGAGCATAAGAGACTTCTATTAAAAACATTTAAAATTTCTTACCAACCCCAAACTTATGCATGGTAAGCAGTGCGAACAAAAACTATAACTTCAACAGATCAGATTACAGAAATGTTGATGTTTGTTAAATGCAGTGTGCATGTGAAATGATCCTGTTTTAATTATATTTAACGTAAATGCCAGCTGATGATGATATTTTCCTGGAAAAAGGCTGTTTACACTTCATGTTACACCCGCTCTGAGACACAGACTAAAAAGGATTTAAAACAACTACCTCTTTTGTTTTTAGTCTTCACTGTAATTCTTGTTGCACATTACTGAGTAAAAAGGTGATTTAGGAAAAAAAAAACACTCAATGCTAACAGTGAGGAAATCACAAGAACAGAGAAACAAGGATCATATAAAACAGTGTAGGAGGAGAAACAGATAACACACAAACATGATGCCTACCTGTGTGAGCATGCTGGGCTGAATGTGTAGAGGCTGGGTGGACTGGTTCTGGGGCACTATGGGAACAGAGTTATCCATGCTCACTGGATATCCAGCGTGTTTATTGGAGGTCTGCAGCCCTGGGGAATCAAACATGAGTGATTCAGTTCATGCATTCGGAAGCGGTGTGAGTCTAAAGGAATGGAGGGTAGGGTGTAGGGAGAAGTGGGTTTGGACAGAGAGGTAGGGTCAGGTACAGGCTCACCCTGGATGGTAGGAGGGCACACAATGAGGGTTTGCTGGAAGGGCTCTGTCTGGGCACACAGCTGAGTAGGGCGAGCCTGCAATGGCACACTCTGCTGAGCCAAGCCTGGTATATTTATAGTGGCCTGCTGGTATAGACCAGGCTGGTAGTTCAGTAAAGGGACGTTGCTGCTAAGAGACAGGGACTGGCCCCCCGTGGAGGCCATCTGGCAGTTACGGAAAGAGAGGGAGATTCTTAACAACATTGACTAAGCACAGAAATAGCACTAAAGATCTTAATATAGCATGTACAGTGGGTACGGAAAGTATTCAGACCCCCTTCAATTTTTCACTCTTTGTTATATTACAGCCATTTGCTAAAATCATTTAAGTTTCTTGTTGTTGTCGAAGGCCGTACACCTGCGCTTGCAGATCTCCATGTTTTGGAAGCAGGACTTTACACTACACAACAAGAGAGGGCGGCACTAGTGTTAGTGTCATCAGAGGAGTACTGGGAGAGATGTGGCTATTATATCTACATTATATGTAGATAATCAACTCGTCAGCAGAGCAGGGCTTACTGTGAGCTGTGTGGGAAGTGAAGCAGCTGAGCCATTGTCACAAATGGGTGGTTGAGGGTCTTGGTGGGCGTGATCCGCTTGTCTGCGTCTAGAGTTAGCATTTTCTTTAGCAGGTCAATGAACTCCCTCCGATCAGCCTTCTCCGCCAAGATGTCTGTGCCCTCCAGGTTAGTCATGTTGACCTGGAGTGTGAGAAAGAACTAACTTAAACCTGGCAATATAATAAGTTTCAATATTTAAAAAAAAATCAATCAATCAAAGATATAAGGAAGTATTTAAGATCCTGCATTATTTTAAGGTCACTAATCAAAAAAGATTTGTGACATTGACCATGTTAAATGAAGTTTAACTGTTTATTCATTAAGTTAGTCAAGGTTTCACTCATAATTAGGTTTTACATGCTCATTTACTTACTCTGACACTCAGAAACTAACAGGCTGTTTTGCAACTGTACCATGAATTTAATATGTAAATGACCTCTTTTATGATTGGATAACCAATCAGTGCCTATTTAATATTCAACACCTTGCTTATCCAATCACAAAAGAAGTCATTTTTAAAAGAATCCTGAAGTCTCTTATGCTCACCAAGGCTGCATATCTTTGATCAAAATTTTTGTAAAAACAGCAATATTGTGAAATATTATTAGATTTAAAATAACTCTTTCTCTTTTTGAATATATTTCAAAATTAAATTTATTGTAGTTTTCCATTTTTTTCTTATAAATAAAAATATTAATTTCTTTAAAAAAAGATTGAATCCTTTCTGAATAAAAGTGTGTGTATATATATATATATATATATATATATACATAAGTGAGTTTTTGACAAATTACTGAACATATAGCACTACCTGCATCATGTCATCAAGGCAGTTGAAAATGTATTTGCGAGCCTCTTTGGACCTTATCCCAAACTCTGCCTCGTGCTCTGCGGGAGTCTAAAAACAGAAAAACATCAGTGAGGAAAGCGTTCAATCATGAATTGACCGCTGATGCCTTTGGACATAAAATACACAGCAGTGCTTTAAGTGGGACATGCCTTGAGTCTCCAGAGAGGGTAGCTGGAGTCTGGGCCTCTGTGGAAGAAACGGCTGGTTTTAGTGCCAGCGCTTAGGAGATACTCAGCTGGCAAACCTTGAGTCTGGGAAATGTACCGAATCTGTAGAGATATACATTAAATGTAGATTACACTCCCATTTTTCACAGATGGACAGATGTTTGTAGCCAAGTAGTATATGCAGAGAAAGGTAACTAGTCTGTATTTGCTGTATATGATTATTTACTAGTAATAAACTAATATTTCAGCCAGTATTGTCAGTTTTAAGATTATCGGTACTGGCATGACTCTTCATCATAAGTGTTAGCGACCCCTTGTGTTGCTTTCCAAATCTATTAATAGCCTTCTCAATTGAATTTTGAATAAAACTAATTGATTTAGCACAGAACTGATTAAATTTAAGCAAACAAAACCTCATTACTGACCTGATCATATTCTGAGGCTCCTGGATACAAAGGCCAGCCCAGAAACAGTTCAGCAATGACACAACCCAGTGACCACATGTCAATGGCCTCACAGAAAGGAAGGCCCAGAATGATCTCAGGAGCTCTACACCACAACAGGCAAATTACAACACATTAATGAATAAATTAGCTTCATTTCACTGGCAGATATTTTTATAAAGTGTATTAGATTGGGAGAATTACAGGTAGGGAGATACATAACTTAACTTATGCATTTAGCAGACGCTTTTATCCAAAGCGACTTACAGTGCACTCAGGTTATACATCTTTTACCAGTATGTAATAAAATATATATATGATTTACAGTAAACAAATTATTTAGGGATGAAGACATGTGAAGACATTATTTAGTGATAGACATATATATGGATATTTGGTCATTTTAAAATTATCATCAAATGCAGATTTTTTTTTAATTTGTGTAATTACCAAAAAGTACTAAAACACATTTTTATTTAATATTTAAAAACTAAATTGAAGAAATATTATGATTTTTTAGAACGAAAATAAGTCGTTTTCTTAATAGCGTTTGAATGTTTCCCAATTGCGACTATTTCTCATAATAGCCACTGAAGGTCTCACAATTGCGACTATTTCTCGTAATAGCATTTGAATGTTTCACAATTGCGACTATTTCTTGTAATAGCCATTGAAGGTCTCACAATTGCGACTATTTCTCGTAATAGCATTTGAATGTTTCACAATTGCGACTATTTCTTGTAATAGCCATTGAAGGTCTCACAATTGCGACTATTTCTCGTAATAGCATTTGAATGTCTCACAATTGCGACTATTTCTCGTAATAGCCATTGAAGGTCTCACAATTGTGACTATTTCTCGTAATAGCGATTAAATGTTTCACAATTGCGACTATTTCTCGTAATAGTTACTTGTATGTCTCACAATTGACCTATCGGTAAGCCCCGCCCCCCTTAGTTACTGTTGCTCCCTCGGACAAAAAAAATGGAGCTGCTCACTCTCTTACAATGAGCACCCCATATTGACAGAAAAACACAGAATTGTTGACATTTTTGCAGATTTATTAAAAAAGAAAAACTGAAATATCACATGGTCCTAAGTATTCAGACCCTTTGCTGTGACACTCATATATTTAACTCAGGTGCTGTCCATTTCTTCTGATCATCCTTGAGATGGTTCTACACCTTCATTTGAGTCCAGCTGTGTTTGATTATACTGATTGGACTTGATTAGGAAAGCCACACACCTGTCTATATAAGACCTTACAGCTCACAGTGCATGTCAGAGCAAATGAGAATCATGAATTAACTTAAATGATTTTAGCAAATGGCTGCAATATAACAAAGAGTGAAAAATTGAAGGGGGTCTGAATACTTTCCGTACCCACTGTATATTACGGCCGTCACAATCGCGGATGACAACACGCAGGACCAACACTGTTCATGTATCGCAGGGTACGATTAAATTAATTAACATTTAACCATTTTCATATGGAGAGGCACTGAAATGTAGACCTTCATTTATGTGTTTTTGACCTACACTGTACATGATGTGAGAACAGCCCGCTATTTAGGTTTGTACCGACAGCATTGACTCACTAACTTTAACGTTAGTTTTAGCCAGAGATACCTTGCTGAAACACAAGATGACATTAACGTTCTGCTTGAGCAGATTAAAATTGTAACTTAATGAGAGTATGACAACAAGAAAATTAAAGTTTTTGTCTTCATTGGGATTGGGGTTGAATGCTTAGGGACATTTTGCTCTGTTTTGTTTGGGTTTAGGAAATGTAATAAAATAAATCCTATTGCCTATCCACTCGGAATACCTGGAATCAGTGTTACAAGTACCCCAGGCACATCGTTTTTCCATTTTTGCAGCATAAACACCATAAAACCGATGGTGCTGAAACCTAAAGATGTCCGAGTTCTGCTCCCCGTGCAACTAGGGTTGGGTATTGTTTGGGTTTTTTTCGATACCGGTGCCAAATTGATACTTTTAAAACAGTTCCGGTGCCTAAACCGATACTTAAACTAAAAATAAATAAATAAAAATTCCCCCCAAAAAATGATGGATTGGCCATTAGCACTATAAACACATGATGTCTGTTTCATTCATACTGGACGCCAGAGGGCGCCCTCGCACAGAAAATCCACAATTCAATAGAACAGAAAAAGAACAGATAATGCTAGTGTTAGAAGGTCATTATTTATAATAAATAAAAAGAAAATAAGTGGAAAGAATAGAGAATGCTAGTGTTAGACCGACTTGAGTTCACATGCATTTTCTCAGTCGGGAAATTATTTTTCACGTGCGGTGCCAGTGATGATGCTTCTTACGTTCGTTTCGGAGAACCAGAGGACAAATATTTCAATCGATCGCTCAGGCATGGCACCGAAATCTGTGTTTGGATTCGGTTCTAGTACATACCGGTTATATAGGTACCGGTGCCATATTGGTACCGGGTTTCGATACCCAACCCTACGTGCAAACTGATACTCGACTGCCATTGGCTCATCTGCGTTCGAGGGAAGGGGCTTACCGATAGGTCAATTGTGACTATTTCTCGAAGTAGCGACTGAATGTTTCACAATTGTGACTATTTCTCATTATATCCAAATAAAACCCTAAAACTAGCCAAATGCCTATATCTAAATGTAAACTCAGTATTAGGGTTTAAGGGAGTTTAATAGTTTTTATGCACATAATAGTATCATATCAATATGAATTTATATAAATTCATGCCTGTAACATTAGTATAATTATCTTGCATTTGCTTTTATTTGTTTAGAATGTATGTACATTCTTATGCCGCTTAGTAAAATGTAACTTGGATGCACTAAGTTGCTTTAGATTCTAAATGCACAAATGTAAATGTACAACCACTTGTCCATTCCTTTTGACATCAAATATCCCTTACCGGTAGTATCTAGACTGCAGGTAGGTTGAGCACACCGCCTTCGAGACGTGATTCGCTGAACCGAAGTCAATGACTTTGACTCTGTAGGGTTGTCTGATGGGGTCCACCAGCATGATGTTTTCAGGCTTCAGATCAGCGTGGATGAGACCCAAGCTCTTCAGCTTCAGCAACGCCGTGGCAACCTGCTGCAGGACCGGCCGGATACATTTGAGGAGCAGTGGGCTGAACTTGCTGTGCTTGAGGAAGTCGTAGAGGTTCTGCTCCAGCATCTCAAACACCAGACACGTGTGGTTTTTGTGCTGGAAGCACTCGTAAGAGCGCACAAAGTTGAACTCGTCTGCATTCTCTGTGCTCAGACGGCTGAGGATGCCCACCTTTAATCGGACAGGATTGAGTTCATTACATTTAAATAGATCTGTATCAAGCACTTGATTGATGATTAATAGCAAACTTAGAAATAGATGCATTACATTTATCACTGCATTAGTCCGATATTAATTATAAGTATTTGCTACAGAAGTCTGTTTCCACCTCAAAGTAAAAATTATTAAAACTGTACTTCCTGTATGTGCAACTTTTATTTAATGTACATCCTTCAATTGTGACTAATACTAGTAATTGTGACTGTGTATCTCACAATTGCAACTTAGCACCTCACAAATGCAACTTCATATCTTGTAACTGTGATTATTTTTCATAATTGCGACTTGTCCGATCTTACAATTGCAACTATTTCTGGCAAATAGTTATTGTATATCTCACCATTACAGCGACTGCATATCTCATAACTGTGACTATTTCTCATAATAATGACTGTATATTTTACAACTGCAACTATTTTTAATAATAGCTATTGCATATCTCACATATGCAACTATTTCTTGTAATAGCGATTGTTCACAGGGAGCTTGATTGACAGGCAATCTGACCAATCAGAACGCGGCTATTAAGTGCCGCCGTTGCTATCCGCCATCTTGCCCGACAGCTACGGCCGGTCTCCATAGAAATCAATCTTAAAACGGGATAAAAAGATGGACTGAATTTAAACTTTTTCAATAAAGCTAAATATAAAAATGAGCGCAGGGTTAAGCTGTGCTGTTGTTGGCTGCCACAGTAATGGCAATAAGCTAAGGAATTCCTTTAAAATATTTGTTTTGCGTACCAGAAAATCTGCCCATGTCCGGCGCTGTATGCATGGCTTGCATCGCTTAAGTTAAAATACTGAGTGTTAATTAAATAATAAAATAATATGTTAAAATGTGTGCTCTTATCACTCTGTGAACAAAATCCAGTGAACTTCACCCCGATCAGGAACAGTATATGTACATGTGCGTTCATCTGTTTTTAATGCAGAATGTTTTACAATTGCGACGGTTGCTCGTAATAGTGACTGTATGCCTCAAAACTGTGACTATTTCTCATAATAGCGATTGAATGTTTCACAAATTGCGTCTATTTATCGTAATAGTGACTGTCTCACAATTGTGACTATTTCTCATAATAGCGATTGGCGATTGAATGTTTCACAATTGCGTCTATTTCTCGTAATAGCGATTGAATGTTTCACAATTGCGTCTATTTCTCGTAATAGCGATTGAATGTTTCACAATTGCGTCTATTTCTCGTAATAGCGATTGAATGTTTCACAAATTGCGTCTATTTATCGTAATAGTGACTGTCTCACAATTGTGACTATTTCTCATAATAGCGATTGCATGTTTCACAATTGCGTCTATTTCTCGTAATAGCGATTGAATGTTTCACAATTGCGTCTATTTCTCGTAATAGCGATTGAATGTTTCACAATTGCGTCAATTTCTTTTAATAGAGATTGTGGGTCTCACAATTGTGAAGCTGTACATCTCACAACTGCAACTATTTCTCGTAATAGTGAGTGAATATCTCACATGTGACTATTTCTTCAAATATTCTCACAATTAAGATTATTTCTCGTAATAGTGATTGAATGTCTCACAATTGTGAAGTTGTATATCTCACAGCTGCAACTATTTCTTGTAATGGTGATTGTATATCTCAAAATTGTGACTATTTCTCGCAATAGCGATTACATCTCACCATTGCAACTATTTCTCGTAATTGTGACTATGTATCTTACAATTGCGACGTAGTATCTCACAACTGCGACTGTATATCTCACAATTTAAACTTTTTCTCATAAGCAACTATATATCTCACAACTGCTACTTGTGACATAGGCCTACCTCACAATTGCGACTATTTCTCTTAATTGCATATGTATATCTGATAACTGTGACGGTTTCCCGTAATTGCAACAGTATATATTTTTTTTAAAAACTGTATATTTTTGTTGATAGAGCAACTGTATATCTCACACTTATGACTAATTCTCATAATTGCAGCTTTATATCTCTTAATATCTCTTATTTATTTCTTGATTTACACTTAAGGCACAAAGGAGCTTCAGTCATTTACAGCACTAAAATACAATGATTGGGAAAGACTTTGATACTGGTTAACTGCTCACCTCTATTTGACCCTGGCGGGCATATGACGGATGATTCTTGAGAATCTTAATGGCCACAATCTCATTAGTTCCACGCTTCCAGCATTTCGCGACCTGTCCAAATGTTCCCCGGCCGAGAAACTCCAGCACCTCGTAGCTGTTGGAGACAGAGCAGAGGATCTCGTGCTGCACCAGCTGGTAGTCGCCCTCACTGTGGGAGTTGCTGCTCTTGGTGGTGGATGTGGAATGAGCCGTGGCATTGCCTCCACCTCCGGCCACACGGTTGGGGAGCACAGGAGCCGACAGCTCCTCCAAAATCTGCACGCTGTCGCTGCTGTCCACCTCCTCACTTTTCCGCTTCAGACTGCCCTGTTTCTGATAGCCCTCACATGTCAGAGAGGTGGAGCCTGTATCTTTTCCACGCTGACTGGATGTGGATGATGA